GATTTTAAAATTTGCCTTTTGAAATACCTTCGGGTGTCTTCTTTAAGAAATAGTATGACTTTTTGGGGTTGTTGGAAAAAGCAGCCTGCTAAAATATTTCAAAATAGAATACAGACCCATCAAAACCATATATGAACCTCGATTTCAATATGTGTGAATCACAGGAAGCAGGCATACAAAACACTATCACGTTGTTAAAAAAATATTAAGAACACAGAATACCAATAAAATTATTAAAAGCACAATGTGAATTGCCTGTAGTAAAGAAATGGGTGGTCTGGTACTAGGAATAGAGGGAGTAAAAGTACAATTAAACACACATGACTAATATGAATAGCTCAAGACTGGAAATGAAGGAGGTCACCATTCCTGCCTATAGAAATAAGTATGGGTATGTCATTTATAAGAAAAAATGAAATGTTCCAGGAGCTAGTCAAAATTCAATAAATTGAATAAATAACAACTATAAATTCAGGAAAATAGATATCAATGTTTCAAGTTAATTGAAAATAAGTCCATGCAGAAAGTCCTGAATTAAAACCAGTAAATTGTTACTGCAGAGTTAAAAAAGAAAATATATAGTCCAATAGTCCACAAACAGTAGCAAGAGGGAGAATCACACCATGCTATGTATATAGAGAATACACAGTTGTGGAGCCCTCTTGCAAACTCACTCTAATTCACTGAAATCAGTAACTATAATACAAATAAAATACATTTATTATTATTATTATTATTATTATTATTAAGAATTATCTCTTTTTTAAAAAAGGTCTTAAATTTGCTCCTACCTCTAAGAATCCTGATTTTAATATATTTATAGATCTACACAAATTTATCTGTAAAATCACCATTACAAAATTTTTTATGGATAAAACACTAAATACTCAAGACACTTCAGAAGGATATGAACCTACGGATCTGCACCCTATTTCCACTTTTTATCCACAATATGTCAAGAGTGATCCAATCCAAGTATTTGAAAAAATGGTGGAAGCTGATTTCAGGAAGCTGAATAATAACAACAAGCAATTGAAGGGCGATAACCTTACTCACAAAGAAAGACTATCCTTGAAGAAATTAATGAAGTAAAGCGACATAACCATCAAATCAGCTGATAAGGGTAGCGGACTGGTCATTTTGAACACAGAAGACTACAATAAAGAGAATAGGAGACTACTTGAAGATATATCCACATATCAGAAGATGGATAAGGATCCCACTATATCATTTATTGCAAGATTGAAAGAACTACTAGAATATGTAGGATATGAATATCCATTTTGCTCTATATCCTAACTGTTCATGTAAGGGTTAATTTGAATCAAGAATAAATTTGGAATTGTATCTCATGTCACAATGACTTATCTATTTACGGGAGATGTTATTGGAACATGATTTTGTTATTTACATGACATGACATGACATGACATGACATGATAAGGATTCTGGAATGACCTTGTTAATTGTCCAAGATTTCGGTATTTGTAATCATCTGGGTTTTATCCAATATGCATACATTATGTAACATCGAATTATAACTAAAAACAGATGTTTATAACTTGTGAAAAACAATGTCATTGTCACGCCCATATGCTAATTTTTCCCCCTCCCATCCTGCTATGAAAATGGGGTATAAATATAACTGACGTATGAATACAATTTGAATTGGTTATTGAACATGTCTCTGCTATTCATTTCCAATTTCCAGAGCTCTGTATGAGTTGGCAAATATCCATCATCCACAAAGGGCCAGGCTGATTTTATCCCCAACAAACTGGTGTCAGAAGTTTTTGGGTGCAATTGGGAACGGAGTAGCAGGTAAGAGGGTCTTTAGCCCCTTGGGGACACAACTTCTGGAATTTAAGGGTATCATGACGGAGTATTTCTGTTGTGTGTCCTTAAGGGGTTGGGGACCCTGCTTCTGCCATCCTCCCACACATTGCATTTCTTGTTTTAATGGGGTTTTTCACTATTTACATTTTTAAAGGGGATTTTCACAGGATAATGTCTTTGGTAGACATGGTATTTTGTTAAGTCTTAGGTAGACTTCTATTACTCCACGGGTTGGGGGATTGCCTTTGGTAGGTAGTAGTAGTTATTGTGCACATTTCCTCTTTGGTAAGAGGTTCACCTTTGGCCAGGTGTTAAAAATAATTTCAAGCCTTTGGTAGGCTGTGATGTCCTGTGATGTACATTTACATATGGGAGACGTCCCTAGATCCCTCTTTGGTAGAGGTTGCCTTTGGTAGGTTATAAAACAGATTTCCAGTCTTTGGTGGACTGTGGTATTTATTTAACGTAGATGTCAATTTTTCAGACTAAAATGGTTATTAAGAAAAAAAAAAAAAAGGGGGGGTTAAAAGGTATGATGGATGTTTGGCATTACTCCGGCTTGCTAATTTATGTGCTATTTTATGATGTGCAACGCTGATTTTAAGCATAAAGTCTTAATTGAGGGAATGTCAAAAGTACATGTAAAGGTGATGATGAATAAGAAAAAAACTAGAGGTTATTTAAGGGGGGGTACAAATTCTAGAACTAACATGATTTCTCTGCATGTATGTTTGTTTGCATAATGAGCCCCTTATTTTTATACTTGGTCAAAAGTACTATAAGCCCACTACACTTTTTCATGAGAGTGGGATGTATGATTGTTTATATGATGAGCCCTTTATTTTCATATTGGGACAAAAAGTCACTTCATTCAAAACGTCAAACACCACATTCTTTCTGCCCTGAGTGTTTGTTGCAGAGAACTTATGTTGCAAATTTAGATGATTATGAATTAGAGAGCAAAATGTATATTTTCAGCGTTCCAACACATGCTTCATATTGTGCTGTAAGCTAACTTGTAGTATTCCAGTACGTCACATGTTGTATGTGCTTTAAATTGTATGTATTCTGTAAATTATTGTATGGGGTTGCTGAGATTTTATTGCTTGTGACCCAAACTGTGAAGAAGTGGGTTTGAAATTTTGGTCATGGAATGTAGGATCAGAAAACCATGGACAAAGGTTTTTACCTGTGTTGATATGACTTTTGGAAACTCAAATTGACCGGTCAAAGTTTTGCCATGCCTTTAACATGGAGTAGTATAAATATTTTGAGTCTTTGAGAGTTCTGACAAATGCAGGTGATACCATGTCTGTGTAATCTGGTCCAAATGTTCTATAAGCGTATAAGAGAGAAATTCCATTGACAGGGTACATATGTTGCAACTGGTTAATGCAAGTGTTATACAAATGTTTAAGTCAAACGTGTTATATGGCCGTACGGGATCCCTTCTTTAAAAAAAGAAAAAATAAACCCTTTGGTACCAGAAATCTTAAATAAATCCAATACAAACTAAAATTGGTATACCTTACAATAATATGTTCTGAATACAGCTGTTAGAAGTTTATTCTGTGTGAATGATGATTGTCATAAATGTTTGTTTTGGTTACTCATTTTGAAGTGCGCAGTTTAATTGTCATGTATGTTAATGGGTATTTTACTGTGTTATTTTAAATTATATTTGAATAAGTTTGTCTTAGTATTGATACAGATGAAAATGGCAGCGTAATAATCTATTAAATAACTGATTTATTATTGAATACTAGTCCAAGAGCAATATGAGTTGTAGTCTTAAGAAAGAAAAAAAGAGGGAGTCTGTTTTTGTAAATTTTAGCTGATTTCCAAAATTCTGTTGCAATAATGGACTTCCTGCCAAAATTTGACTTTCCTGTCCAGTTGCCAGGTGCTCTGATCTAATCTTAAAGCAGTACTGCTTGCATTGTTTGCAGACATGCATAATGCACAAATATGAGAACCAAATTATGTCTGTCACATAGTGTGACATTTATTAATTTATTTTGGATTGAGTTAATTGCCTGTCCATGAATATGCTTTTTGTATTGGCATGTCTGCTGGATATCTGCTACATGTTTTCTGTGCTATAAGATGATGTGTGATATTACAATGAGTATGAAGAATATTTAAAGAATATTTGCATGTCATTAACGCAAGCCTTTAGTGTCTTTTTACAACAGATTAAAAAACCGCTGATCAGCCAACAAGAAAGGGGTCCCTGGGAAAGAAAAAGAAAAATATATCATTTGCTTTTCAAAATCGTGGATCCACGTTTCAGTATTATTAGGGGAGTATTTAGAGTTAACGCTACTTTTAAAGTGCATTGCATTATTTAAGAAAAGAAAAATGTGTTATGTTATATGGTTATATAACAAGAAAAATTATGGATGTATAGGATTGGTTTTTTCCAAGATTAAGATTCATCTAGTATGCCTCATTGATTATAGGAAAATGATGAAATGGTATTTTTAATAGAGATCAGATAATTTCTTTTGAGGCAATTCTAAACTACTGTATTATATTTGTATTGGTATATTGAAAGCATTTTGCAGACCCAGAAGAGAATAAATAATATAATAATAATAAAAGGAACCATACTATGGGAAGAGGTCACCCTATTAAATTGCTAAGGGGTTAAACTCATTTTGATAAGCATATAAAGTTTAGTTTTTGTGGTTAGAATTTTTGATACTCAATTTGAACTCAATTGAAGTATTAAAACCATATCCTTGCAGGTATAGGAAACAGCTGCAATATGATTTAAATATTTGCAATATATTAGTGTTCTGACAATGGAAAAGTTCCTAACCGCATGTCTGTATTACACCTATGACACAGACTGTCAGTATTGCAAACCCTATGTGAAGACTCTGCTTTCACTGTTTATGTATACACCCCTAGACCGTGCTATACATGCACAATAAATCTTCAAAAGCCTATTAATATTATATCTGTGTGGTACACAAATAGGTGTACACAAAGAGGGGGTGTGAGTTAAGTCATCTCGACCTTCATATGGAATATGCTTCCTCCTTGTTCACTTTTGGTCAAACTGTTGGTCTGTGACTGGCCCTCTTTGAACTGAATTTCTTGGGAAGATTCATGAGAAAGATACAGCAGGTTGTTTTGGATATAAAGAAAGAGGGAAAAGTATGTTGTATCGGTCACAAAAGGATTGTGATCTTAAGCAGGCGAGACAAAGAAAGTTTGGAGGTGATAGATTGAATCAGAAAAGTTTTAGAGGCAGAGGTAGAGAATTTGATCAAAGGATTTAACTTTTGTAGAGATGGTAACTTCAGCACTGTTTTAATTATGGATAGCAGGGATTCACCCAAAGGTGCTTGTGGTGAACCCGGTTCTCCTGGTCAACCTGGCATGGCATTCAAGGACTCCCACCCTGGCAGGTTCCTCAATACCAACCACAACTTTCAAGCTATACCCACACCCAACAACCTCAGCCTAATACACAGATGGTTCATGTTTTTAATACTTTATATATAGTTTTGATAGATAAAACAGTATTAATGCTGGCTCTTAGAGGATGTACAAGCTGAAGTTGGGACCTAGACATTGTTTGCATAGGCTGTGCAATGTGAAATAACTAAAATAAAATAGGATAATAATTATGCTTAGTCAATTTGTAAAGTGGTATAATAGAGGCATCTGCAATAAATTAAGTGGGTTTCCAAGACCTGACAAGTGAGAGCAACTTAATATAACATATGTCTACAGTTTGCTGTCCCTTCCTTATCAGAGGCCACTTGCAACACAGCAAGACAACTCTTCCGAAACCTGTATTAAACAAAGCACTTTAGAACAATAGTAATTTATTTTGTTTCTCCTATTTCATTCCTAGTTGTTCTGGAAAAAAATATATTGTTTAAGTGGGATAACTGTATGGAGGTTCCAACATGTATTAAAACATGATCACACACATCGGGATCTATAAAAGGTTTCGGTTTCCAAAGATGTTATCAGGGTCCACAAAATTTTATTAAAGTAATTAATTGAGATTATCAAATCAAGGTTTAAGTTTAAGAACAGCATTTTATTGGGAATTATACCAATATGTATATGTTAGTGTTTTAGTACTCAACAAGCATTTATATAGAATGAGTGCTTCTCTCATCCATACAAGGCATTTTAAAGGGAAATTATGTATTAAAATTTTATAAAGGACATAAACAAAACTGAGAGACGTACATGTTACACTAGTTAAGAGTTTAACTTTAGTCTCTAATTTGAGTTTAGCCTAGATAATTAATTTATTGATGTCGTACTGATCCTTGTGTTTGTATGATTATAGAGACCGTACTGGAGTATTTGTGCTGCCTGATATTTGGGACTACACACCAATCTCTCTGGCTGACCTACCTTTTTTGCAATTAAATCTGTTTGGTCAAAAACCATGCTGGCCGAAGAAACTGAGATGCTTACTTATGAGGACATAAACTAACTTGGAAAGTCCTGAAGATGCAGTGCTGTCTAATGCCGCTATTTCTGTATTACCCTTTCAACAATTGGGGTGTTGCACAGAGTATTGTGGTGAACATCCAGCAAACAGAAGAATTAAGAACTATGTGGAAGCTGACATTGTCTTGTTGTCAGCCATATTGCTACCCTTAGCTATGTTATGGTGTCTAAGATTATGGAACAAAGTTTATGGTGTCTAAGATTCTTTATACTCCTTGAAAGACTTATAATATTTTTCTGGACTATGCTGGACTATTGAACTATTTTGTTATTTTTATTTTTGTAGAGTTAGCCGGAGAGAGAGGAAGTGTTAGCTTACTCAGGCATGGATGTACTATGTGTGTCATTGATGTATGTTGAGTGTACCAAGGATGGATTCCAATGTATTAAGTGTGGATATGACTGGACTATCGAAATAGGGATTTGATTAGGAGGCATAGGACGCAAGGTCATGATTGGGATTATTGCTAGAATTGCAAACTGATTAGAAATGATCTTATGATTTAATATGTAAGTGGGCCTTTTCAAACTAATCAAGAAGTGTTTCCCAATCCCGATACCTGAGCTATTTACTTACATAGTGCAGGTTTTATAAGTCACTAATGCTGTCAACGTGAGGGGATGACATGTTTACACAGTCATGGCCCTCACTTAGAATTTACCCAGATGTGCTTTTTTTCTCAATTATGAGTTTTTGCCACTGGGATTTTTGACCTGACCCAAGTTCACTGGGTGGACTGGTAATCCAAAACCCTGGTCCAAAGAGGGGAAATAGATTTTATTCCCATTTTTGATTATATGTGTTTACGTTGTAAATTATAGTAATAATATTCCCGTTGTTAGGAATAATACACTTTGCCTGTTTTGATCCAAGGCTCAAGTTACAGATAACATGATGTGCAGTATGTTTAAAATTGGTTAAGATGTCAGCTGTTTGAAATATTTAACTTGTACACTTAAAAGATGTGTACAACAGATGATTACAGAAGCTGAAAATCGACAGCTCGATCTCCTCTTAAAGGGAAAACCTACGGCATAGAGCAAATGGGGGAAATCGAGGTGAAGAAATAAGGAAAGTCCCGCAGACGTGATTAGCACGTCTGAATATACCTCCTTTCGTTTCTCTGCCGCAGGCCTCCCATGGATATTCCATAAGGTAGATCACGATATGATCTAAAGAGAGGAATTGTAGGATATGAATATCCATTTTGCTCTATATCCTAACTGTTCATGTAAGGGTTAATTTGAATCAAGAATAAATTTGGAATTGTATCTCATGTCACAATGACTTATCTATTTACGGGAGATGTTATTGGAACATGATTTTGTTATTTACATGACATGACATGACATGACATGACATGATAAGGATTCTGGAATGACCTTGTTAATTGTCCAAGATTTCGGTATTTGTAATCATCTGGGTTTTATCCAATATGCATACATTATGTAACATCGAATTATAACTAAAAACAGATGTTTATAACTTGTGAAAAACAATGTCATTGTCACGCCCATATGCTCATTTTTCCCCCTCCCATCCTGCTATGAAAATGGGGTATAAATATAACTGACGTATGAATACAATTTGAATTGGTTATTGAACACGTCTCTGCTATTCATTTCCAATTTCCAGAGCTCTGTATGAGTTGGCAAATATCCATCATCCACAAAGGGCCAGGCTGATTTTATCCCCAACAGAATATGTCAAGGAAAGAGGAATTCTAAGTGAGAGGGAGTACAAATATCTATATATTCTTCACCCTGGAATTCCTATCGTTTATCATTTGCCCAAGATACACAAGAGACTACAGAATCCCCCTGGTAGGCTGATCATATCAGAGATAGGTTCCTTAACTTCCAATCTATCTGAATATGTGGACCAATACCTACAAAACTTAATCCATCAACTCAAATCTTATCTCAAATTCTCAACCTACTAGCGGACATCAACTGGGAGGAAGGTATGATTTTGGTAACAGCAGACGTCGCTTCACTATACACTGTGATAGAACATTTTCAAGGTTGTGAAGCAATTTAATATTCACTTGCCACCTACTCCGAATTAAAGAACGATCAGATTGATTTTTAAAAAAAATTCTTTATTTTTTGTGCAAGTGGATATGACAAACCAGTGCGTTGAGCCACGACAGCCCTGCCGCACAATTTTATGGCTCAATAGAAGTAACATAGGGTTTTGTGGAGGCACATTTTACACATTTTTGTTTAGAGGGGCTGATAGGTTATAACAAGGTATGGATCTAGTTCGAAAAAGGGAGAGTGGGATCCACTCATCTATGTGGGGTTCGCAGCTCTCTAGGTGTCGGGTCGTGTGGCCAAAAATATATGAAGGCCTGGATCTTGTTGGTTAGGTGTTGCCTTTAGGTGCTAGTTAGTCGTGATAGGGACTTGGTTCTGTGAGTCATAGAGGGGTCGTGTAAGTTGGCCAAGTCTGTAGCATGTTTTGGTGCTAGTTGGGCTGTACCAGGGTCCCTTCAGGTGTTGTTGCGCTGCTGTCTAGGTGTTTTGCACTTGGTGTTTTAGACTAGGTCTTGAATGGGTTGTAGTTGTGTAGTGGGCTCTTGGGAGTTTGGGTCTCTTCAAGTAGGAGCTTGGGTGGTTTGTGCTGCCTGTCTGGGCCAGTGTGTTGCCATTTTTAGGATGATAGCTCTATGTTTTCGGTGGGGCGGTTGGAGTGGGCTCCTATGCTAGATGTGCTCCTGTATCCCTGGGGCTGTGGGGGGACGACGACGACTTAACCACCTCTGCACTGCAGGTGGTGTAGCGTGAGTGTGCTGCCTCTATGGCCTTTGGTCTGTGAGGTGCGTGTAGTACAGTATATTATGTAGTTATAGTTTCAACGGGTGGGACCGAACAGGCTAATGCTTAGCAAGATAAAAACACATAGTTATAACAACATTAACTGGTATCATATTGTGTGTGTGGTCCGTGATAGCAGGCTCAGGTCGGTGCACTCCTCTTCTCTCCTTATGATGAGCTTGCTGCATAGCGTGTGGGTCGTGATGAAAGGTTAGACTTTATCGCAGAGTCCGAAGTATGCTGGGTGAGTCCTAGTGCTGTGAGTAGCGTTGGTCCGTCTTGTGGGCCTGTGGCCTTGTAGTGCAGTCCATCTTTTGTAACCCAGAGCGTCTCTGGCGTAGCCCTTTTGTATGCGATTCCTGCTGTTTAGAGGGGCTTGGTTACTACTTGCATATTCTTTCGCCACATTAGCGTAGCCCTACTTAAGTCCTGGAAGAAGGATAATTTGCATTGTTCGAAGTCATAGGGTGTTTTTCCCTTCAGAGCTGCCAGTAGACCAAGCTTGTCAGACATTTTTTGGCACCCCAGTATAAGGTCACGTGGGGCTGTGTTTGGTGCTTGTGGGGATTTGGCGATCCTGTAGACCCCATCGAATCCCATTGAATCCGAAGGTTTTGGCCTGTCTGGTTGGTAACACTGCCTCCGCAAGACGTCTAATAAAGTGAGGTAATTCCTCTAGTGGTATCGATTCCGCAACTCCTCTGATCTTGAGATTTTTGCGTCTGCCTTTGTCGTCCAGCAGGATTATCTTCCTGGTCATATTTGCCTGTGTGGCCTGTAGCTTTTGTACACTCTCTTCGACTGTGTGGAGGTTCTGTTTCTGGATAGTTACGTCGTTTTCAGTTGCCTGCAGTCTTGTGGTTACTGCCTGGACTTTAGTTGTAAGTGATGCTAAGTCCGCTTTCCACATTTGTCTGAGGTTAGTTTGTAGCCCTGCCAGCATCTCCTGGATGTCACTTTTAGAGGCCGGGGTGCAGTCCTGTGGTTCCTGTAGGGGCAGGGGGTTTCTTGGAGGGCTGTCAGGTGGGTCCTCCTCGTCTGAGGGTGCAGGTAAGGCCATTTTGCGGGCCGTGTCACGTGTGGGGTTGGTCGTTAGGAGCATCTGGCTTATGTTCCTCTGGGGTTTTTGGGTGAGTGAGG